AGGCCGGAGAGTTGGAGAAAAGAGAGGAGAGTGTATATCATCATTGCTTCACAGTGGCCGGAGCCGAAGATAAGAGAATATGCCTGTTGCGTCTCTCTGTATGCGAGTTCTAATCTACACGGAGGAGGCTGCAGAGAATAGTCTAACAGTGAAATAAATAAATACTACCTCCGTCCCATATTTATCTTCATAGTTCGGTTTACGATGTTTGACTAACGATAAAGCAACTCGATCCCTGTTCACACTCGGATTATTTTTAGTAAATAAAATTTACATATTCAGAAACTACATTAAAACCGCTACAAAGTCTGATCAAGAAAATTTAAGTTTGATAAAAATTTGATATATAAAGTAAAAGATTAAGAGTAATTTGAGTTGACCATGTGAATAGTAACTATGAAGATAATTTTGGGACGGATGGAGTAAAACACAAGAAGTTAAAAAAAGAAAAAATTATTAGGACATAAATGATACGGGTCACACAATATTGGACCATACAAGTAATTTCCACTTAAAGAAACAGAACTCGCGGGTGGGATTATCCAAATCATTTGACATTCACATTATTTCAGAAATCCAAAAAAGGTCTCGTGTTTTGGATACTTTCTGCACGGAACTCCTGTAACAATAGAAATCACCTTAGTCTGTCGCCTTTTTTTCTTTTCTTTTTTACTTTTCTTTTCTCCTGTCAACCCACACTCTATTTTTCACCTCATTCCCTTACTTTTAATGCCTCTTGTACTCCTCCAGTACACCAAATTAAAAGTAATAAATCTTCACCATTAATCTTTTGACTCTTATTCCTAGACCACTACAAATGATCTAATAACCCGAAAGTCCCCTCAATTTCTGATCAAGCCTAGAATTCTCTATTAAAAATCGAGTGAAGTTTTTCACTAAACATGCAAGAGTTTCGAAGAAATTAACGAGAAGTGTTCTGATATATAAAATAAGAAAACAACACAAATATTCGATGCACAATTCAACATTTAACATTTAACATTTATTTTTCTCTTCCAATCTTTTTATGAAATACCAATTCAAAATATTAGGATCAGTTAATGAAATAATTACATGTATAGTGGCAATTGTGATGCATTTGTTTCCCGTGCCGATTCCCTGAAAATAGATCTTCTTTTTTCGGACAACGCTAAAACAGATCTTAATTTTGTCAATCACTCATTTGTTTAATTTGTAAGCAAGATTTACTTGAGTTGGTAATTTGTATGATTATGTTTGATTTCAATATTTTAACGTAAACCATCTAAATCAAAGTTTTTCCTTTAAATACATCTTTTTCTCTAATTAAACGTGTGTAATTGAATTGAATTGAATTATAGTTGTGTCATTTGTGTGTGTTAGGGGGTGTTTTGAACTGATTCTGCTTCTGCTTCTTTTTTAAAAGCAGAAGCAGAATCAGAATCAGTTTTCAGAAGCTGGTACCCCCCCCAGCTTCTAAAAAAAAACTGATTCTGAGAGTAAATTAGAGCTCTAGAAGTGCTTCTGGAATTTTACCCAAACACTCCAGCTTCTGCTTCTACTCCATGAAAGAGCAGAATCAGTTTTGAAAATCAGATCCAAACACCCCTTAATAAGATCAAAAGTGGCTCCTTTTCCATATGAAAGAGCAATTATATGCAATCTTTAATGAGTTATGATATACTTTCCACTTGCAAAGTAGCTCTATAAGTTGATTGGATAACTAGCTAGGGTAGAATACATTAAAATCAGCTAAAACAAATAACAATGATAAGTAATTCAGAACCTGCAGGTTTAGAGCATCTTTAATGGGATAATGGATTGCACCTCATAAAAAATGGACACATCACTAATGTAAACGGCCGTGGAGCTGACCTGGACACACATCTTAAAATACCATCTCCAACGCAAGTATGAGTTTTGTTTAATATATCCGCAATCCATAGATAAAAATATTTTTATTTACTATTTCTACAACCGATAGGCTTTTCTTCTTCTAACTTCTTCAAAGCCAAGTAGCAGTGCATATTTATTTGGGTGTTTTACCAAAATACGGGAATTGCTGACATGCGTTGCCAAATTACGGGAAAAAATTAGGGTTTCCCAAAAAGCGGGAGTCGGAATTGGGCTTTCCGACTAGCGAGAGGGTTTAAAAAAAATTAGGTTACTACCCTGTCGGATACACCAAATCCGACCAGATTATTATTATTTTTTAATTGCAAATAAAGTTACTTTTCAAATAGGGTGAGTTTTTAAAATTTTAGAAGTCCTAAGCGTCGGATAACTGGAGTGTTGTTTGTGTTCTTTTTTAAATCCGAATAAAGTTTTTCTTAAATAAGGTTAGTTGTTTAAAATTGTAAGTTTGTGATATTTTTAAAAATGAAAATATGTATTTTGATTATTTGAATAACAACATTGGTTAGTTTATTTTATGTTTTAATCTATCCGTATTGTGAATTATATTCATAAAATGAAATACAAATTTGATTTTGTTTAGAATGCAATTTTTGTAATTTTAATGGAAGTGAATAAAACAAATGTAGTTTTCAATGTAATTTAATAATAAATACATAGATAGTACTATACATAAATAATAAATTTAATATACATCTAACATTGCATTCTCGGCCCTGCATAGATAATTTCCATATGCGCGAAATAAAAAGTTTGATAAAAGGATAGCTTATAAATCTGATAAGCCGAAAAACAGGGTCACCAAACGGGCTCATATTCTGAACTTCTTTTTAAAGAAAGAGATCAAAGGACTAATTTTGAAAAATACTAAAACCTAGATAAAAATTAAAAAAAAAAACAGGCATTAGTATTTTAGATAAATAAAGTACAAAAATGTGTATTAGTTTTGAAAAAGAAAACAGTAAGCCACTAATTAATGAAATTTAATGGATAAAATAGGGCATTGAGCATTTTTTTTGTTTAGGTAAAAATAATTGAAAAGATTAATTTCAATTGGATGCAACTGAGAGTTATAATTTGAAAAGCTCTTCATATTGGAAAATACAGAATAATGGTGCTCAACCTTGTCGGAATTGCCAAATCCGACAGGAGGAGGTATTTGTCAGACAATGGTAATTTCCTCTATTTATTTTATCAGTGGATGTTTTAGCTCTTATATACGTAGTATATATATATAAATATAAATATAAATATATTTGTGTGTGTACGGAAGGAATATTATATTCAACCGGAGCTCCGGCAAACACATGCAAATCCGGGGTCATTGAAGGCAAGGTAGTTGTGAAGAACGCGGTAATCCAAATATCCAACTCGGCTCCACCATCGCTGCTTTACCAGGGGAGGACCTGAAAGTCTGAAACTCAAGCAATCAACATATGAGCCCCAATTCAATGGCAATGGATCTTCCCGACTGGCGACAACGAGGCCCTCACATGTGAGGTTTACCCCAGCGACGACGTATCCCCGGCCAATAGAGGACGACTAGAAGGAGATACGTTCAACTGACGGCTAACGCCGGCAGCTCTGAACGGGACGGTGCTGATAAAAGGCAGGGTGGAGTAGGGTTAGAGATGATGCCAAGAAAGTCTGGTGATCCTAGGGGCTTGGAAGATACAAAAATTGAAATTTGTTACTTTGGGCATTTTCTACCAAATGATTTTAGTTTTTAGTGGAAATTTTCTCATTATCGGTGCTAATAAATGTTTCCTTACTGACTCAGACCGTCTAGCACGCTCTCTATTTTGAGAAGGAGGAGCCGAGAGTGTGGACAGTTGTTTACTCCAACTCAGCACCACTAAAATTATAGACATTTGCATTGGAGAGTATATTTTAACCCCACTATCTATTTTGCTTGTGTACCGCTTTATTTGTGTTTCGTTTACTAAATTGAGTACTTTCCACCTGCTTATTGGGTCTAGTATATGTCTATATGGATAAGGTTGGTGCTACTTTAATTTAGTTAATGGCTTAACCTTTTCATTTTGGCGTTTATTAAATGTCATATGGTTGGGTTTGTTTGTTTTTTTACTGCAAGGAACGATACAAAGAGGTGCTATGTTGGTTTTACCTTTGTCCAACAAAATGAGTTAGTTCAATTCTTATTGACATGCAATATTATCAAACATTGAAATTTGCCAATCATTTTGAGAATATAAATATTAACGGCTTCATACAGATAAAAGGTGTCTGTTTTTTTTTAAGGAAAAAAGTGTCTGCTTTTGAAAATCAAGGATAAAAATTCACTTAAAAAAGATTGGGGTACACACTTTTTGTACACAAAAAGTGTACACTCGTCTGTCTCTCACAGACAAATTGTCTGTCGCGAGATAAGTGTATGATCTGCTGCGAACACCCCAGTCTTGCTCATAAAAAGAATATAAGAGGCTTCCGGCTGAGCCCGGGCATGCGACAGATGTGATTCCGCGAAATTGGGATCACGAATTAAACGCATCCAATCTTTACAGACGCATTTGAATTGCATTAGCGATCTAGCTGGAAGCCTTTTCAGGATTTCAAAGATTATGTCATTATCCTGCAATATCCGATGAGATGCTTCAGCTTTGTTCCTATCGGTGCCACCGGTGTTGATTTTCTTCCTCGCCATTAATTAGTTTTGGAACGAGAGAGGTGAGGGTGTGAGACGGTTGAATTGGATATTCACAAGGGTTTATGGTGAAGAATTTAGAGCACGTTGGCGGTTGGTAAATGGTAATACGGGGTTCTAGTTTTTATAAGTAAAATCAACTTAAAATAATTGGATGGGATTTTAGAAGGAGATCTCCTAATCAATCCTGTATACCAAAGTTTCAGATTAATTCTCTTTTTCCCAGGGTTTTCTTTCCACGAATCTCTTTACACGGATTTAATTAATACTTTAATCCACCATGAACGGATTTATATGGAGGCCAATGACGGACTTCTCAAATTTTCTATTAAGAAAAATGGATAAATTAATAAAGTACCCATAATGTAGGAATGATTTACCAAATTAAATATGAACACGGATCGAAAAGGAAAGATAAAACAACCTTAATATAAGATGTAATGGAAAAAGTTTTTTAAATAACTTATCTTAACTCGGACAAATAAATAATAGAACAATTCAATAGTTTAAATTTAAGGACATCTATTCTATAAAAACAAGATCCTAGTTTTTTTTATCTTCGAACGGACATTCATTCATAAAAAGCACTCAGAAAGGGGTTGAAATAACAAAAGGACCACATGTAACCATACGCCCGTGGACGAGACTCTGAGTTAATCACCTTTGACAAAGCAATATAACTCGCTAATCCTAACTTGGGCATATTCAAAATCACGACGATTACCACAGACCTCTCATCCCCCAATCCAAGTGCAAAAGTCTTACAACATAAAATAAATAAGCAACAAAACACAATCGATATAAAATAAAAACAAAACACAATCGACTCAGTAGAAATAGAAATACTCGTCCAAACCCTAGTCGCAGAATTCCTCCAAGGCGGCGGTTCTGGAGGTGGACGGATCAACATCCCTTCGTCTTCTTTCACACATAGGCCACCAATGAACCCCTGAAATTTGATTTTCCAGTCCGACAGCACGATGTCGACCACCAGAACCTCCATGCTTTCACCAATAGCAATCTGTTTCGTCAAAACTCGTTCCCAAACTGCCAAAGAATAACAGCTCGGCTTCGTCTTCAACATTCTGCAGCACCCTATCTTCCCCTTGCTAAACATGTCCCCTGCCAAAATCAGAAGCCTCGAACCCTCCTGAAAGCTTCCTCGCTTGTTCACTGCTCTTGTAAAGCAGAAAAAACAAAAGCTTCATCCAAACCAAATCAAGATTCACCACAATTGCAAGCCAGAAAGAAAATAAAAACGAAACAAAACAAACCCCGCGATGACAACAGAACTCAATACCCTGAGAAGATATATGAGATTAGCTGCCTACCGGGGAGAGATCGACCGAACCCACGGCCTGGATAGGCCGCCGCCGGAAAAAAACCCTAGGACGTGCCTAGGAGACGACCGCCGTAAGAGATAACAAGATCCTAGTTTTGTAATGTTTAATTTTTAATTGAAAAAATTGATAGTAATAATCTCAACTATTGACGGTCCGCTCATAATAATCCCAACTATCGATTATTTCAGAACAATCCTAACTTTAGAGATCTTCCGCAAATAATGGTCCACGTGACTGGCTATAAATATATTCCTATAGTTTCTAAAGTGGATGAGAAGAGATATAGCAAGTAATCCCTATAAATAATCCTAACTTTTAATTTTTAGACTTAATTTCTATTTGAAGTTCACTTGTTATGTGGTCATATACCATTATTGGCGGACGGTCCATATAGTTGGGATTATATAAAAATAATCAATAGTTCAGATTGTTATTTTCAATTTTTCCTTTATAATTTTATACTACGGTATTTATTAGATAAATATTATTCGATCTTTAAAATACTAGTATTTGTACCTGTGTCGTGCACGAGATAAAATGATTTTGTTTTTTAGTTCCACTAATAGAAAACTACTTATGAATTCAGTTATAACACTGGTTTACATATTCTACTGTAGTTATAGGTCTCATATACCAATAGTAATTGACTATTAGTGTAAAATACCGTTAAATTACAATTCGTTTGTAGTGTCTTGTTTTTGAACTAATCATCTAAACATCTTTTCAATCTATATTTTCTAATGAAAAGAGCAATTTACATAAACATCTGGAGGAAGTGGTTCATATGATGAAAGTGGAGGGAATTTAGTTTTCGTTTGTTCCTCCTCGTCCGGTTGAAAATCTTCTCCAGGATCAACCCCATTTTTAGCTTGCTTTTCTTCCTCATGCACCTCTTTCAATGTTGTCTCATCCCTCAACATGATTGCATTAACATGTTGTCTCGGGTTTTGCTCCGTTTGAGATGGGAGTTTACCCGAGTCTTTTGCCTCAAGTCGGCTAACCACAATTGAGATTTGGCTCATTTGATTTTCCAAGTTTTGGATGCTAGATTTCGTCATTTCTTGGAATTGAGTCACACTTTGTTGCATCGTTGACATATTTGTAGCAAGCGCTCGGATCATGTCTTTGGAGGACATATTTGAGCTTGAGGTTTGGCCTTGGTGATTTGGGAAGGATTGTTGAAAGGGTTGATTTTGTTGTGGTTGAGGGTTCCCATATCTCAAATTCGGGTGATCTCTCCACCCAGGGTTGTAAGTGTTAGATTGTGGATCGTACCTCTTTTGTTGATGAGATTGAAAACCCAAGGCATTGACTTGTTCTTCTTAGAGAGTTGGGCAAGAATCGGTTGGATGCCCTTGCTGTGTGCATATGCCATAGACCTTGACCTCTTGGTTTCTAGGATTCAAAAGGAAATCCTTAACCAAAGAAGTCAAGCCGGCCATTTGACTTTCTAACGATGTAGATGATTCTGCCGCGACAACTTTACGGGTTGAGGACCGCCCGTTGTAATGCCTAGAGTATTCGGCCAACTCCGAGATCAAGCTCGTGCTTGTGAGGGAGTTTTGTTGACAATGCCACCCTCACAAGCGGCATTCACCATTCTTCTATCATCATCAACAAGACCATCGTAAAAGTAGAGTATGAGGTCTTGCTCGGTGTAGCCATGATAAGGGAAGCTAGCACATAACTTTTTGAACTGTTCCCAATATTCATATAAGGTCTCATCATCTTTTTGATCAATGTTACTTATTTATTTTTTCAAAGATGATGAGATGGAGGCGGGATAGTATCTTTCTAGGAAGCATTTCTTCATTGCCGCCCATGCCTCTATGCTTCCCGAGGGAAGATAGAATATCCAATCCTTAGCCGTGTCCTTCAGTGAGAATGGAAAGGCCCTCAGCTTGATTTGTTCTTCTGTAACATTGTTTGGTTTCATACTAGTGCAAACTATATGAAACTCCGCAAGATGTTTGTTTGCATCCTCGCCCCTTAGGCCATGAAATGAAGGGAGTAGATGAATGAGGCCCGATTTGAGCTCAAATGTAGCACCTTCATCAATAGTGGGGAAGGTGATACATAGAGGTTGTTGATTTAAGTTAGGAACCGTGAGCTCCCTCAATGTTCTCTTTTCGTGAGCCATAGTGATTGGCTCTTCGGTCTCGCTAGAATTAGAGCTAGCACTTTATGATTCCTCCGAAGAAGTATTTGGAAATAAATTCCTAAACCTCTTGAAGTCTTGTTCCGTTTGGGGGTTTGTTTGGTAAATGATTTCGTTTATAGATCGGGTTCTTACCATATACTCAAACAAAGCTCAGAAAAGAAATATAAATCTCTATATTTAAGTAATATGTTTTTTTTCTTTTTTTCTTTTTTTACAATAAAATTGTTGAGGTTTATTCCTTCAACCCTCGGGTTCAACACGTAAGCCCAAGAGTTTCGAATGGAGTGAGTATGTGAATAAACTAGCCCAACTAACAAGTGAGATGAATTAAGAAACAGTAAGTAGCAAGTAAGAGATTAGGTATTATTAATCAGTTAATAACTCCTCAATACAATACTTTTGCTAAGGCTCGTCGGCCGTTCGTCTTACAAGGCAGTAGAAGAGCTGCGAGTAAGAATGCTATAAGCTAGAGTGCTAAGAATAGTAAGTTGCCAGCCCTTTACAATGAAATAAATGCTGCTATTATACTACCAATGGGTAGCTGGCTATGCTGACGTGGAGGCTTGTGTGTGGCTTATGTCCCAACCACCAAATCTTCAGCATTAAATGCGCTTCCCGCCAGAATATGGGTTTCCTGCCTGGTTGTGGAGACGGTCGTCCAGTCCGGATAAGGGGGCCTGCTCCTGGTGATATTTGCAAAGGGTAATGAGCCGTTCGTATCCTAGTCCTTAGATGATTTGTCACATGGGTTGGATTGGTTCCAAGTGACAGTGGCTTCCGGAGGTGACGTTCGTCGTTGTTGCGTTTGTCTGTGGATTTGATCCACTTGTCTTTGTGCAGACGTTCGTCTGGTCGAGGTGAATGAGCCGGCCCATGTGCTGGGCCATTAACCCAACGTTCGTCCGTATGGGCTGCCCTGCCAAGGAAGATGTTCGTCTGGTCGAGGTGAATGGGCTGGCCCATGTGCTGGGTCATCAACCCAACAAAAATAGAAAGAAAAACCAATTGTCTTTCCCCGGCAACGGTGCCAACTATCTTATGATTACCAGACCTAACATTAATTATTCTATTCACATATTATCACAATCTATGCAGCAATCACGAATCACTAAGAGTTTTGAGCTATCTCAAAGGTCACCTAGTCAAGGGCTTTTATTATGATGTGATTCCCGGCATCGCACAGATCCATACATACATTCCCCATTGATACATCCATACATAGATACTACTCCGTATAAAAAGCTATGTTGTAAGAACCGGACCGGACCGGACGGGTCGACCCGGAACCCGGTCACCCGGAGTCCAATCCGGTCCGGTTGAACCCCAACCCGCAAATGTGGCTGAACCCGGAAAAACCCGTTGACCCGACAAACCCGGATCGTAACCCGCGACGGCCCAAACCCGGAAATTTCTTAAAACCCGGAATTAACTCAAAAATATGCACCAAGGAAGATTCGAACCCGGGTGTGCAAGTAGGGAGGAGAGACATCAAACCGTGAAGTTGCTTTGGAATGTTGGTACAATGTGTTACTTAACCATATTTAATATACTCCGGGATATATGTTATACTACGTATCTGTTATGGAGTAAACTTACTTTTTAATTAATAATTACAATAAAAACATAACATCATTAATACAGTATATGTGATTACTAATATTATGAGTTAAATGTTTATACTCCGTATAATATTTCATTTTTTAATAAGCATCATATTGATATTTAATATCCATCTAATTTAATATATATTTTATGTTTAGTTAAAAAATTGTATATTTTAAAATAATAATTCTATTTATTTGTTGACTGGGTTTTCCGGGTGTTGACCGGGTTGACCCGCCGGGTCCGGGCTGACCCGTGACCCGATCGCTCGACCGGGTCGCTTCCCGGTCCGGTTTTTACAACATAGATAAAAAGTGGAATTTAACAAATGAATTCATCCCACAATAAATTCTGAAGAAAGTGAAATCATTATCATCAAATAATGCTTGATGCAACCTTTGTTGTTGTCATGGAGAATGGGTAAAATTAGTATTGCACACTGTATATTAAAATCGATAAGAACAATATGTGGACAAATGTTGTAAATCGATATCCAACCACAATTAATCGATAGGGATAAAGATCTAAATAAGACTAAAACTTAGAAGCTGTTCTCTTCGCCTGATCTGAATGTTTCTGATCTGAATTTTTTAAGTTCTGATCTGATCTGATCTGAATTTTTCTGATCTGATCTGATCTGATCTGAATCTTTCTGATCTGATCTGATCTGATCTGAATCTTCCTGATCTGATCTGAATGTTTCTGATCTGGTCTGATCTGATCTGAATGTTTCTGATCTGATCTGAATCCTTCTGATCTGATCTGAATCTTTCTGATCTGATCTGATTTGAATATTTCTATGATTATAATTATAATTATAATTATTATAATTGCAATTACAAATATAACTTAAATAAAATTATAATTATAATCGTAACTATACAAATAATAATAATAATTAAATTTAAAATGAAAAAATTTATACATATTACACTAATTATAAATATAGATATAATTATAATTGTAATTATATTTTTAATTATAATTACTTATATAATTATAATTGTAATTATAATTACAATATTTATCTCTATAATTGTAACTATAGTTATCAATATTATTATAATTACTCCGTGAAATAATTACAATAGTAACAATAATAATAATAATAATATTTATAATTATAATAAAAATAATAATTATAATCATAAATTATAACTATAATATAATTATAAGTATATTTATAATTAATAATAATTATAATTATATTAACATTAATTATAATATTATAATATAATAATAGTAATATAAATACAATTAATATTATTATAACAATATTATTATATTAATATTATTATTACAATAACATAATAATAATAATAATAATATTATAATTAGAATTATATTATTATAATATTATATTATAATTAAAATTATAATCATAATTATGATTATGATTGTAATTATAATTATTATAATTATAATTAATTACAATTATAATTATATTTAATTATAGATATAATTATAATAATTACAATTGATATACTTATAATTATAAGAATTATAATTGTAAGTATAATTATAATTACATATAATTATAATATAATATTATAATAATATTAATCATATTATTATTATAATATTGTAATAATAATAATAGTCTTCTTAATAATTGCATTTATATTACTATTATTATATTAAAATATTATAACTATATTAATATCTTATTTTTTATCATATTATTATTAATATTATTAATAATAATTATAGAATAATAATCATAATAGTAATAACAATAATAATTAATATAATAATAAAAGTGATAAATCATGTTTGAACTTTTCTGATCTGATCTGATCTGAATGTTTCTGATCTGATCTGAATGTTTCTGATCTGGTCTGATCTGGTCTGAATCTTTCTGATCTGATCTGAATCTTTCTGATCTGATCTGATCTGATCTGAATCTTTCTGATCTGATCTGATCTGATCTGAATTTTTCTGATCTGATCTGATCTGATCTGAATTTTTCTGATCTGATCTGATCTGATCTGAATAAAATAAGAATAAGTAATAAGTAATAAGAATAAGACGAACAGAACAGCACCTTACTCGTGGAATCTAAATAGGACCTGAACTTTTTTAAACGTATATAGGACTACTTTGTACGTGTAGGGACAAAACTAACCTGAGGCCTTAACCATTATCAATTTTGTTGCCCTGGTTGTTGTAATCCAATGCAACCGACCTTCATATACATAGCCCTGGACTTCGCACACCTCTCCGCGGATGACGCATCGCGGCGGCTCCGCAACATCAGTCGCCGCACCTCTTGCCGCCGATGCATCTCGCCGCCTCTGCAGCATCGATCGCCGCACCTCGCCGCACTTCGCCACACATTTTCTCTTTCTCATTCTTCAAGACTCCGTAGGAAAAAACAACAACATTTTGTAAGATCCAAGGCTCCAAGTTATTTATTTGTATCCATAAAGTACGATGCTCCTCTATGGATCTGGGAAGAAGAGTGACATCATCATTCATCAATGGCAGAATTCACCTAGTTCAGCTTGTTATCCAATTAAACGTGGCGTCATTTTTTTGCGGACTCGTTTTTAATAAAGATCTGAGGTTCCAATTGCAGGAGAGAATTTGCTTATTTTGTGGATAAGCTTTTGACTAAATGTTCCAATGGTTAGTAATTTAATCTTAATATAATTGCCTTTATGTTGTTGAACTTTATTGAATTATTTTGGACAATGTCATAAAATTACATGTAAAAATTTACTACATTATTAATTATTTATTACAATGACAAGTTGATAATGCCATTGTAAGAACGAAAATGACAATGTACGTATGTCATTGTCTTTATAAGACAACGTGATATAATGTCATTGTTTAAAAGTCAATGTCATTCATTCTATGACAATGTAGTATAATGTCATTGTATAAAAATTAATGTCATTAGATTACCTGAAGTATGATGACATTGTTTAAACATCAATGTTATTCTGTCAAAAAAAACATCAATGTTATTAAATGATAATGTAGTGTACTGTGATGTCATTGTATAAAAAATAGTGTTCTCATATGACAATGTGATGTAATGTCATTGTTTAAATTTCATGTCATTGTTCATAAATCAATGACATTATATGACAATGTAATGTAATGTCATTGTTCAATAAATAACGTCATCGTTTAGAAATCAATGACATTACATGACAATGTAGTATAATTTCATTGTTTGAAATTTAAAGTCATTGTTAAAAAATTAACGTCATTGTTTTAAAACCAATGCCATTATATGACAATGTGATATAATTAATGTCAGACAAAAGTTCATGTCCGGAATTCCGGACAGGAACCGCCGTCCGGACGGCGGCGTTTGGCCGCCTTCCCGGTGGAATTTTTTGATGAAATTTTTATGGAATGTTCTCCAGCAAGTCTAGTTTATCCACAAAAAAATTCAGCCAAAAACTCAATCGGGAAGGTCGTCAAATGATTTTTGCAAGTTAACTGGTCCGGAATATGTATTTTCCGGACCAGTTAACTTGCAAAAATCATTTGATGACCTTCCCGAATGAGTTTTTGGCTGAATTTTTTTGTGGATAAACTAGACTTGATGGAGAACATGTCATAAAAATTTCATTGAAAAATTCCACCCGGAAGGCGGCCAAACGCCGCCGTCCGGACGGCGGTTCCGGTCAGGAATTCCTGACCGGAAGAGTACTCATTAATGTCATTGTTTAAAATCAATGTCATTATTATATGACAATTTAAAATAATGTCAATATTATAAAAATACATTATTGTCAATGTAGCAAAATATTAAACAATTCCAAAAATGTCACACCATCACAATATTAAAAATAAACAATGTTATGTTTAGATTGTCCCAAAATGAATGTCAAGATTTCTTTTTTTGGTAAACAATATATGGTTCTTATTATTTTACTTTATTCTATACAGGTTTGAATCACTTATTAATAATATTGCCAAATAAAAACATGACAATCAATATAAAAGGGAGGTAATATGTGACAAGAATAATGACATTTGAATAAAACATAATGATATCAATGTCTCAAATCACTGCTCTTTTAAGGGTATATGGCAAAACTGAATTAAATAAAATGATGATTAAAATACTACGTATATAACATAATACATAACGAAAACAAAAACAGTTGTTGCAAGTTGCAACTTGAAAAGGGATTTAAATTGCATTAAATTGAAATAAATAGAACAGTAAACCAAGGAAAAAACAAACACGACGGAAACTAAATGGCAGTTTAGTAGCTGCAATTGAAGAACAATAGAATTGATTAGAAAACGAAGTTAAATCACACGAAAAACAGCGAAATAGAAAAGAACATGACTAAGTTATGGTCCTATTCACCACCATTTCTCTTACAAACTAACGAATTCCTTGATCATATATATACATACACATACTGACATACACATACATATGATGGGACTTTGGGAAATCAGTGACCTCGGGGATGGAGGAGGGGGATATAAGACTATGAGCTCCAAGATGGGACAGGTGCCAGACAAAATGATCGAGACCTTGCTACATTCTTCCTCCCAAATTTGCTACGGGTACCCCATACTTACCCCATTTCCTACCCCATATAAATACCCTCCCAAAAATTTACCCCCACTCCCTCATCTTCCTTCCCCCTTATCTCCCTTTCATCTCCCTCTTTTCCAGCCAGCCCCTCTCCCTTTCATCTCCCTTTCATTTCCCTCAATTAATCCCCCATGCTTAGTTCCGGCGAACACCCAAGCACCTCCGGTGGGAAGTCGGAAAACCCAGCCGGACACCACCCAAACCCCCGTCAGGCGTCAGGCCCCGGCGACCCCCAGCGGCAGCGACAAGGTAGCAGGAGCGAAGATCTAACAGTAGTCGGACTACGTAACGGTAGGCGGAACTGATGCCCGGCAAGCCGGTCATCTTCTCCGGCGACACCTGACCGTTGTCCCAGTAATTTCAGTGTCGGCCGGATTTAAAACCTTCCACACCTTCTCCACCAACCTGTAATTTCAGTTCAAAACCTTCAAATTCCAGCGACCATAACTTTGAAACATACCTGTGATAGTTCAGATCTATTAGCTTTGGTTCAGATCTGTTAGCTTCAAATTCTAGTGAAAAGAGTTGTCTGGCATTCCATTTGATTTGTCTGTAATGTGAAAATAGTTGTCTGTCTGGTGAAATTATGAAGTACTTGTGTATATTTAGACTACTCTGTGATGATATTGCGATGTCTGTCATGGTATTTTGAATATTATGTAATTGGTTTGGAGTTGTCTGTCAATTTATTTTGAATTGTTTAAAATTGTTTTATAGTTGTCTGTCATGTGAAAGTAGTTGTCTGGCAAGGCATATTAGTTGTCTGGTACGTTAAATCCAATTGTTTAAAATTGGTTTGTAGTTGTCTGTCATGTGAAAGTAGTTGTCTGGCAAGACATTTGAATTGTCTGTCAGTTTATTTTAAATTGTAGAAAATAGTTTTGTAGTTGTCTGTCAGGTAAAATTAGTTCTCAGGCAACCCATTTGAATTGTCTTGCACGTTGTTTGGAATTCATTAAAATTGGGTTGTAGTTTTCTGTCATGGGAATTGAATTCTTTATCAATGTATTGCAACAAATTGTTTGTAATGAGATATAAAATGTCTGGCCTTTCTTCTGAGTTGTCTGTCTACAAGTCGGGAGAATGTGGCCCAGACTACTAATGTCTGGCCAAGACAAAATTTGTTTGGCTATACGACAAAGAGTACTTAATTGGCCCAGACTACCAATGTCTGGCCAAGACAAAATTTGTCTGGTTGTAGGACAGAGAGTAGTTAATTGTCCCAGATTACTAATGTCTGGCCAAGACAAAATTTGTCTGGCTGTAAGACAGAGAGTAGTCCTTATTCTAACAAGAAATCCTACTCTTCTCCTTCTCTTTGTAAAGACTACATATGTAATTCATTCACGAGACAACCATGTTTCAAAAAAAGGCACACACATTTATATAAAAACTACATTACCAATACAACCATGTTTCCAAACAAAATCACATACATTTAAAGTTGTCTGACCACACACACATTTTATGTACGACTCTAACAACTATAAAACCACGTTCACTTCAAGCAACTATGAAACCACGTTCACTTTATGCTAGACAGACACTGCAGTTCCAAATTGTCTGTCCGCCAAACAAAATACAAACAAATGACAAAAACAACATACTCTTCTCCTAGACTAACAAATACAGACATTGCACCTACAAGTTGTCTGTCAGGAAAGACAACCTTTTTTTCAAAAACACACCAAAAATGAAAAAATCAAGAAAAGTAGATCTGCTCAAGTCATTCGAAGCTTCTTGATCTGCACTTTCGCCGTTGTCTCCCCACGTCACCGAGCTCTCCCCTTTGTCCGATTACTGTAGCTCTTCCATTTGAAACGAAAAAAAGGCAGCAGAGGAGAGAAGCAGGAGAAGAAGCTTGGAGGGAGAAAAGATCAGATTGTAAAAATGAGAAGACTTGATGGGGAGAGATCTTGAAATGGAGAAGAAATCAAGATTTGGAGAAAAGAGAAAGAAAGGGGAGGGGATGGAGGGGGCTGCGTGGAAAGAAAAGATGGAGGAGAGAGGGAGGGAAGGAGAAGAAAAGTGGGGGAGGGGGAGAGGGTTTTGGAAAGGGGTAAAAGGAATGGTAAAAAAGGAGAGTATTTATATGGGGTAGGGAATGAGGTAACTATGGGGTACCTATAGCAAATTTCTCTTCCTCCGTTTGCATTTGCAGTAGCGTTTGCAATAGGTTTGTGGCTAAGGGCAACTTAGATATTAGAATCATTTTTAATTAATTTAATACTACCTCCGTCCCTGATTGTTCTTCCAAATTAAAGTGGCACGGTGATTAAGAAAGTGGGAATTGTGTGGTGGAGAGTTGTGCAGAGGAGAGAGAAATGCTGTGAACCACAAATTATTTGCCAAAAAGGGAAAGTGAAGTTCTTTTTGGGACGGACGAAAAGGGAAAGTTGGAAGTAAATTTAGGGACGGAGGGAGTAGTTGTGAATAACAATTACTCCCTCCGTCCCATTTATATTGTCTTGTTTTACCTTTTCGGTAAGTCTCACTTAAATTATCCCATACCATATTTGACAAAATTTCTTTGGCTTTAAATCATTCTCACTTTATTCTTACTTTATCAATTAATATCAACCACACAAACCCACTTTTCTTAATAACCGTGGCACCCTCTTCCGTCCCAATATAAATGGGACGGAGGTAGTATACACTACAAAAAAACATCGAAATAGGCACGGACTTGGCACGGATTGGGCGAGTTTGGCACGGATTGAAACTTATTTTTGGCACAGCGCCGTGCCAAATAGCTGGTGACAAAACGACTTTGGCTCGGAATTTGACAAAACGACTTTGGCACGCATCCGTTCCAAATCCGTGCCAAATATCCTACGAATTTTGGCATATCCGTGCCAAATCCGTGCCGAAATCGTTGTTTTTTTGTAGTGATATTTAAATTTGCAAAAAAAAAAACAATTTTCAAAAAAGGAAATGAGATTAATTATATTTTTGTGCTATACCAGTGAGGGGTGGGGGATTTTATGGGATGGAAGGTATGTAATATTGAGAAAATTAAACTGTCGGGTATGTCCTCCTACTATGTACGGAAAGTCAATTAGCCCATTGTACTTTAAAAACACCCAATTGAATCCGCAAACTCTTTTTGTGTGAATAAAATAGAACTAAGAATCCTCCAACACTTAGAAAAACACTCACAAAGGTACTGCCTCCGTCCTATTAGAAGATTCTCGTCTACTATTCACATGATCAACTTAAATCAGTTTTAATTTTTAACTTTATATATCAAATTTTTATTAAATTTACATTTTTTTACCAAACTTTGTAACGGTTTTAATGTAGTACCTAGACATTCTCACCGTGTTGAATACGTAAATTTTATTTACTAAAAATAATCAGAGTGTGAAAAGGGGTTAAATTGCTTTATCGTCACTCAAACATCGCAAATCATCAATGGAAACCTTCTAACAGGAGGGAGAGAGTATTTAGCATGTCACCGGCCAACCAGTCTCCCAGTTAGCCACACGTGCAGTGTGGTGGACCACGTGGTAATTTCCCAATTTTTATCCTTTGCTTTCCTTTCTCTTTCCCTTTCTTATTTCTTTTCTCATTCTCTTTGTTCCTAGCCTCCTGTAATTTTTTCGTTCCCAGCCTAATATATTACTACCTCCGTCCCTTTTATATTGGTACGGAGAAGGGTGACACGAATATTAAGAAAAGTGGGTTTGTATGGTTGATATTAATTGATAAAGTAAGAATGATTTAGAGTCACACAAACTTTACCAAACATGGTATGAGACAATATTAGTGGGACTTCCCAAAAAGATAAACTGGGAAAATATAAGGGGGACGAAGGGAGTACATAGCTAAAAATGGACATTGGCATAAAATATAGGATTATAACAGTAGTTAGTTAAAAAGAAAAGTGAAAATGTCAACTATGAGTGATGATGATACAATGACTTTGCCAAAACAGTAAATGGAAATCTTTTAAATTTTGTCTCTGTGTAGAAAAAATTCAATACGTGTAATGAACATTATATACTTAGCATATTAGGAAGTTGCCTTTATGAGAACATTCAACGCAGAAACGTCAAGAATAGATTTCATTTGAATGGTGTATTAATTAATTTAGTACCATACAATCACGTTCATAGAGAATAATTTGTTCATAAATAAATATGATTAATTACACACCAAAGTTAGCTATAAATATTATGACCATCAATAGACACACATTCTCATCAGATCAAACATGATCTTCATATTATCTTCAATCAATTATGTTATACAGGTGTTGACAGTGTCTAGCAACAACACGTATTGTTCATTGAAGTTCAATCAAGCATTCTTCTCAAAATGATTATTGAAAATGAAATTCATTGTCAGTAATATTTTCAAAACACCGTGTAAGTATATATTTAATAAAGCTAGTGGACTGTCAAATACTCCGTATACATACAATTGACTAGCTTTCTTGAATATATACTTCAGGTAGTTATAGAATTGAAGCATTACTTGGCGATGGGTTTCATTTTCAATAATTCTTACTTTGACAACCTGTATTGACTCCCTTATTCAAGTTGTTGCTAGCCAGTTAAAAGCTAATACCTGAATGACATACGAAAATCAAGAAGGTATGATTATCATATATGTAACCCATTCAACTATCAAACTGATTTCAGCACGGTACGCATAGTGCTCAACAAATATATTTGTCAAATTCGTACCATCACAAGGTAGTATTGCATGAGAGATTGAATCCTCTATACTCGTCATGAGGCCAAAATCAAGAGAATGGTGGCTACCCAGGTGGTAGTACTACCAGTGCTTTTGGTGGAATTGACATCATACTCATAGAACGAAATGAGTTTGATGTTGATTCTACATTAGTTCACATATTAAATTTTATTTTACTTTTGATACTTAACTAATGTTTTTTGACCATTTGTAGTACTTTTCAGAAAAAAGTAGTTATGTCATGTGCCAAAAGTGGTCAAAGACGTGAACTAATTGTGGATTGTTGAGACACTTGTAGAACCAAAAAGTGGAATTTATCTATAATCAAAACATTTCAGCAGTAAGGATGTTTTCTTTTGGACTGTTTTCAGTCTCAAACCAGACCAGACCAGATCAGACCAGACCCGACAAGATTAGACCAGACCAAACCAGACCAGACTTCCGTAGTTATAATAAAATACACAGAGCCCAGACGTTTACCAGACCAGACCAGACAAGTTCAGACCAGACCAGACCAGATCAGACCAGACCAGACCAGCAAATTTCAGTCCTAAAGAAAACATCCTAAGTCGGCAAGTGGCATCAACCTTTCTCTTCAACAGGTCTACGTTTCATGTTGCCTCACCTAGCTGCACAATAATGACTCTGTTTTGAAAAACTGCTAAAAATCTGAAATTGTGTTAATCAGGTTTGAAATTCTAAAATGTGTATTATATTAAATTTTAGACCTATTACATTTAGATCACTAGATGAATTTATAATTATATGGAGAAACTGAGAGCAAATATCTCCCCTTCAAATAATTGAAGGGAAACCTGAAAATGACTCGTTTTTGCAAATTCACATTCAGTCGATTTTATCACATTTTCGCTCCAAATTACTTGAAGGCGTGAATCGGATGGATGAGAGCGTAAGTGGAACTTTAAAAAATTATTTTTTTCTTCATCTTTTTATGAAATACCAATTCAATATATTAGAATCAGTAAATGAAATAATTACACATATAGTGGCAATTGTGATGCGTTTGCTTCCCTATTCCCTGAAAATAGATGATTTTTTCAATCACTCATTTTTCATTAGTTAAGATGAGCACAATTCACTTGTTTAATTTGTAAGCAAGATTTACTTGAGTTGGTAATTTATGTGATTATGTTTGATTTCGATATTTGTACGTAAACCATCTTAATCAAAATGTTTCCTCTAAATACTTGTATATATTTTCCATTAATTAAACGTGTGTAATTGAATTGAATTAAATTATAAATGTATCGTTTGTGTGTGTAATAAGATCAAAAGTGACTCCATACATTTATCTATGAAAGA